CACCAGTCTGCATACCCACCAGCACTGTACTAGAGTCCCCTTTTCTCCACACCCTTGCCAGCACTTGTTGTGTGATGATTTGTTGATGACAGCCATTCTGACAGGTGTGAGGTGATACCTCATTGTTGTTTTAGTTAGTGATGTTGAGCATTTCTTCATATGTCTCTTAGCCATTTGCATGTCCTGTTTGGAGAGGTGTATATTTATTTCCTCTGCCCATTTTTTAATTGGATTCCTTGTCTTCCTTTTGTTGAGTTGTATGAGCACTCTATATATATTGGAAATTAACCCCTTATCTGATATATCATTGGCAATGATGCTCTCCCATACAGTGGGTTGCCTGTCCATTTTGATTATTGTATCTTTTGCTGTGCAGAAGCTTTTGAGTTTGATGTAGTCCCATGTGTTCATTTTCTCCTTTGTTTCTGTTGCCTTAGGTGATGTATCAGTGAAAATTCTGCTGCGTATGATGTCTGAAATTTTGTTGCCTACATTTTCTTCTAGAATTTTTATGGATTCATGGGTCACATTTAAGTGTTTTATCCATTTTAAGTTTATTTTTGTGTATGGTGTAAGTTGATGGTCTAGTTTCATTTTTTTGCATGTAGCTGTCCAGTTTTGCCAACACCATTTATTAAAGAGGCTGTCTTTACTCCACTGTATGCTCTTGCCACCTTTGTCAAATATTAATTAGGCATATTGCCTTGGGTCCATTTCTGGGTTCTCTATTCTGTTCCACTGGTCTATATGCCTGTTCTTGTACCAGTACCAGGCTGTTTTGATTACAGTCGTTTTGTAGTATAACCTGATATCTGGTATTGTGATCCCACCTACTTTGTCCTTCTTTTTCAAGATTGCTGTTGCTATTCAGTGTCTTTTTTGGTTCCATAAGAACTTTTGAAGTATACTTATTTATTGCCACGTGTGTTAAGTGTGGTTCTATTTTTCTTTCTATTTCTTCTACTACTTACAGCAGTCCTTTTAGCATATCTTGCAGTGCTGGTTTGGTGTTAATATATTCCCTTAGCCTTTTTTTTTTTTTTTTTGTCTGTGAAGCTCTTTATTTGACCTTCTATTTTGAATGATAGCCTTGCTGGATAGAGTAGTCTTGGATTCAGATGCTTGTTTTTCATGACCTTGATTACTTCATGCCATTCCTTTCTGGCCTGTAGTTCTTCTGTTGAGAAGTCAGCTGAGAGCCTTGTGGGGTTTCCTTTGTGGGTAACCTGTTGCTTATCTCTTGCTGCCTTTAGGATTCTCTGTCTTTCATTTTTGGCATTTTAATTACTATGTCTCTTGGTGTGGGCCTGTTTGGGTTCTTCTTACTTGGGGCTCTCTGTTCTTCTTGAACTTGAATGCCTTCTTCCTTCATCAAGTTAGGAAAGTTTTCTGTCACTATTTCTTCAAATATATTTTCTTTCTTTCTTTTTTTTTTTTATCCTCACCTGAGGACATTTTTCTATTTTTTGTTCAGATAAAGTGGGAGGGAGAGAGAGGAAGAGAGGGAGAGAGAGAAACATCGACGTGAAAGAGACACATCGAGTGGCTGCCACCCACACGACCAACCAGGGCCGGGGACAAACTGCAACCGAGGTACATGCCCCTAGCGGGAACCGAACCCGGGTCTCTCTGGACCGCAGGCCGATGCTCTAACCACTGAGCCAAACCAGCCAGGGCTCTTCAAATATATTTTCTAACCCTTGCCCATTTTCTTCCTCTTCAGGGACTCCTATGATGCGAATGGTATTATGTTTCCAGTTGTCCTGTAGTTCTCTTAAGCTGTCTTCCTGTTTTTTAATTGTTTTTTTCTTTTGGTTTTCTGATTGGTTGATTTTTTTCTGTGCTGTCTTCTAATTCACTTATCTGGCCTCAGCTTCCTCTACTCTGCTGTTAAGTCCTTCCAATGTGTTCTTAATTTCTGCTATGCCATTCTTCATTTCCACTTGGTTGGTTTTCAATGTTTCTATATCTTTACTCATGGTGCTGATGTCTTTACTCATGCTGTTGAGCTTCCTCAAGATCATGGCTCTGAACTCTACCTCTGATAATTTGCTTAGCTGCCTTTCATTGATCTCATCTTCAGTATAGGTCTCTTGTTCTTTCATTTGGCTTTTGTTTCTGTGTTTCACCATTTTGGCTATCACAGTGGGTTTGGAGCCTGCCAAATTTTTCCTGTGGATGTTGGTGTTCTGCTGTTTGTGGCTCCCTCTACTGGGTTTGGATGAGCCTGGGTGGTCCCATGTTAAACACCACTGTCAAGTATTACTTTCCTGGGAAGATTTGCAAGCCCAGGAAAGGTTCAGTTATCCTCTAGCTTTTTCCTGATGGCTAGTAGTCTCAGTTACTCAGTGCCTTGAAATGTAGCCTTGGTGTTCTGCATAAGAGAATTTCCAGAAAGTGAGATAGATGCTGGTATTAATGAGCCTCGATTTGCATTTCTTTGCCTCACCTGGGAAAGGCTGAATCTCTGAGAGGACAGCTGCTGCTTTTCCCCACAGCTCTAGGAAGGAGCACACTGGCCACTATCCTTTTTGGTTCCAACTCAGCAAAAACTCTGAGTGCCCTCCAAATCCCGGGTGTCCCCACAGAGTTCCAGCCCAGTCTGCCCTCCCTCTGCCGTAGCCCCCAGGTGAGTGGCTGTGGCTATTTTAGCGCTCTGTTCTGGCTCTGCACTGTGGAGTGGGCTTGCTCTTTATTCCCCAAGGGCCCCGTAACAGCTAAAACTGCTGCTGTCTGTGGGCTCCCAGCCTGCCACCCTCTTCTGTCTCTGAGAATCCTACCAGTGTCCCTGGTTATATGGTCCTGGCCTGCTGCTTTTCTGTCGCTTTTTTTTCCAGGGATTTGTCTTTATTTTAGTTGTAATTCCTGTTTGGTCCTAGGAGATTGTCTGCGTAGCTTCTATTCACTCTGCCTCCATTTTCATATCCTCTATGCCTATCTTGTGTGCAGCTGGATCACACAGGCTTTTCTAGTGCCCCCGCACCCTGCAGGTCCCGCAGCTAACTGGATCACACAGCCCTTTTGGGGACCTGGCTCTATGCCTATGTTATGGGCTGCTGGGTCGCAGAGGCCACTTGGTGCTTCAGCACCCCACAGGTCCCATGGGTAACTAGATCATGCAGTCCCTTCTGGGTTGCATAGTCCCCTCTGGTGCTTTAGCAGCCTACAGGTGCCTCAGCTAATTGGATGGCACAGTCCCTGCTGGCTCACACAGGCCTCTCTTGTGAATCAGCACCCCACAGGCCCCATGGGTAACTAGATTGCACAGTCCCTGCTGGGTCGCACAGGCCTCTCTAGTGTTTCAGCACTCTGAAGGTTCTGCCGGTAACTAGATTGCACAGTCCCTGCTGGGTTGCACAGGCCTCTCTGGTGCCCCCGCACCCTGCAGGTCCCACGGTGTGCAGCTGGATTGCACCAGTCTCTCTCAGGCTCTGGCTTCCCACTGCTCTTGTGAGCTACTGGACCGCACAGGCCTCTGTGGGGCCCAGGTCCCACTGCTGGTGTCTGGGAGTGCTGCTGCCCCGTGGGGCTCAACTCCTGCTCAGCTTTTGCTGTAGTTTTTGGGGATGGATCTCAGCTGCTGGCCTGTGCTTCTGTTGCCTGGGAATGGATATCTGCTCCCCAGCCTCTGTTGCTGGGGGTATATCTCAACTCTGAGGGATTGTTACTGTGGGGGATGTTGCTGGGCTCAGGGCTGTCTGCAGCTTCCACGACCAGCACCTTGGGAGCTCCACTACTGTGCACCAATCTGTGTTGACACAGGGTGTCCACTGGTCCGATGGTGCCAGGTGTGCTGGTGGGCTCAGGTTGCTGGGCCCTAGCTGCTCCCACTGCCTCCTCCCAAGGAAGACCCAGGATCTTCCAAAATGGTGGGACCTCCCTGTGGTGCAGGGAGAAGCACCCTGAAGGGCCACTTACCACGGTAGCCAGCTGCTCCCATCCCCAGGACAGGAACCTTCTGCTCCGTGTTTCTTCATTGCTTGGGTTTGGTCATCCACCTTCACGTCCACTCACACTTTCTCACACACTCACCATCCCTTTGGTCCTGCCTGCCACCAACATTTTTTTTTTATCCTCACCCGAGGACATTTTTTTCCATTTTTTGTTCAGATACAGTGGGAGAGAGAGAGGAGAGAGGAAGAGAGAGAAACATTGATGTGAAAGGGACACATCGAGTAGCTGCCACCCGCACAACAAACTGCAACAGAGATATGTGCCCTTAGCGGGAACCAAACCCAGGTCTATCTGGACTGCAGGCCGACACTCTAACTGCTGAGCCAAACGGGCCAGGGCTGCCTGCAGCCATCTTAACAAAAATTTCAATTCAGGTCTTAAGAACAGTAGTAATATGTACATTTTTGCATATGTATTCTGTTAAGCATGCACAAAAATTATCTAATAAAAAATATAGGAGTACCATTAAGGGGTCTAAGGATATGCATCTCAAATTAAAAACATAATGTCATACTCTTGCAAAAAGTTATTTTACCAATTCATAATCCAATAAATATATGAAAATTCCCATGGTTCAGATTCCTTCTAACATTAGAAGTATCAACCTAATATTAGCAATTTTATAATGATATAACTTAGAATTTTACTTAACACTTAACAATTCTTTTTCTATTCAAAATTATCATCAGTTAGAAACTTTTGCAATACTTTCTTCCTAACAGTGACAACAATTTTATGTACATTTATTTTATTACACTTTATATTTTTATACACTTATCAGAATTTCATTATACAGTTTTATAACCATTCTTCTTCATGTCTCAAATACTCTCTTGTTACCATAAAATGTAACAGAGATAACAGAGATACTTTTCTAACCAAATATTTTGTCATGTCACTTTGAGAAAATATAATGACCTAAAAGCATGTCGTAAGGAAATTTTAGTGCTATTTAACAAAACCTGAAAGGACCTGATGAACAAAGGCTGAAGGTTTTCTATTAAAGTATTTTCCTATAGAATACAGCAGGTTACTTCAAGTTCTGTCTATAAAGTGAAAGGTTTTGATTTTCTCAAGGAATTTAAGTGCCACAGTAAGTTCAAAGCGATCTGTCTTAGCTTGCTGTTTCCCAAAATTATAATAAAAGAGTGGCCTGAGGGAAAGATGGTTGAAATCACCAAGACAGGCATATTGGCCTGATATGTCTGTATCTTAGTGAAGATCCAACTTCCTGTTAGAATAGAAATAAAATAAATGATGAAGAGGACGATAAATGTTGTCACCATTCTTATGGCCCTTCTATGGGCTACTGTGCTAGAGTCTCTTGAGTCTTTCAGGTTGAGGTGTAAATTCTTGCTGTGTCTCACCAAGGATAGATATAAAAGGAGCAAAGAGATCAGGGACAGGAAAAAGGGGATAACATAGGTCAAACTAACAATAAAAAGACCTTTAAGATAGGAAATTTTACTTCCATCGAAAAGTGAAGTCATGTTTCTCTCAGGTACGCTATAGACATTTATCCACAACTCACTAAGACCATCCTGCACTAAGAGGTTAAGAGACAATGAGGAGAAAGACCCCATGAAAATCACAAGAACCACTCTGTCGACTCTCCACTTCAGCCAGTTGAAAAAGGACTGGGAGAAATTGGCTATCTTAAGGAAGTAAAAAATACTTAGGCAGGTGGCAAACCAGGTAGTTAAGTGATTAGTTAGTACCCAAAGAATCGTAACCACTTTTAGTAGTTTACTCGTAGCAAGCAGATGTGGACAGAACACCATTATGTATGAATCGAACAGTATTACCCCCAGATGGATGATTCTTGCCACAGCCAAGCTGGTGAGGATGAAGTCAGCTGAGGAAACCTTCCCAGTCTTGACCCATTCGATGCAGTTCACCAGTCCAATGAATCCATTTCCTAGCAATCCTAAGATGAGTATTCCTGTTTCCACTACCAGAAAGGAGACCTTCATTCCAACTGACATCTGTATGAGAATGTTTCTAATGTGATGCCTCACTGAAACCTTATTAGTGAAACAGTTGCAGATGAACATCCATTTATGATGCTTTCTGTAATTATTTTCTTCAACAAAAATTCTGCTTTTTGATATACTTCCAGAGACCTTCACAAAAGATAGTTCATTCTATTTGTATTGCATTTCCAGAGCTAAACTGAACAGTTCTGTTAAGGCACACAAGATTTCATGAATACCTATCACATTACTTCCAGTCAGCTACTATATAATTTCCACAATAAACGCAAATGATGTCCACTTAGCTTGACACCAGCTGCAAATTACCATCTGTGCCACTGGCTAAATCAGTGAAATAATATATATAATCATGCAAATATGAGTGAGATTATTTTCAACCTGTTTCTATTTTTATAACCCTGAGCCATGCACCTAAATGCAAATATCTTAAATTTTCAATAGTAATTGCTAGGAAAAAAACTTTATGTAATTCAGTCATTTGTTACTTATCAATGAGATCCTTCTACATATCAAGTACTCTAGTTCATGCAATTTAATTAACAGTAATCATTTACTGCAGATATTTTTAGTTCAAAAAACACCCCCAAGTACTAGAACAAATAATAACTAAAAATAATTAATAAAAGATATTGGAGGCCTGGCTGGTGTAGCTCAGTGGTTGAGCATCAACCCATGCACCAAGAGGTTGCCAGTTCGATTCCCAGTCAGGGCACATGCCCAGGTTGTGGGCCTTATCCCCAGTGGGGGGCATGCAGGAGGTGGCCAATCGATGTTCTCTCTCATTGATGTTTCTATCTCTCTCTCCCTCTCCATTCCTCTCTCTCTCTCAAATCAATAAAGGAAGAAAAAAATATTTCAAAAAAAGATATCGAAGAAGCTAAATCAGATGTTATAAGCAAAGAATATTGGGAATATATTTGTAGAGGAAGCTACAAAAGCTTCAATGTAGAATTCATGATGGTTTTATGAGGACAGTACTATTAAGTGGGAAGTTGAATTATTTAGAACTTATAAAGAAACACAGAAACAAATTTAAGGCTGATGCAAGGGCATGTCAAATTACCAGTAACATGGATAGTACAGCACCCTTCTAAAAAGAAAAACTCCTGTTTTACAATCACTTACTGGCTTTCAACTCAAATGTTACTAAGTTCCCTCCAAAATCTATTTCTAAATTAAATGTTTTCATCTTCTTTCTGGGCTATAGAGTGACTATTTTTTCACCCTCCCTCACAGTTGGTGTTGAAATGTGACTGATTCTGATCAATGTCTTGTGAGTGAAAATCATGTGCACCATTTGTGGGCTGTCTCCACAATATCTCCTCACATGCTCCTCCATACGCCTTTCTTCTCCCGTTTTCTGGAATGGCAGTGGCTTCCAGGCAACCTTGGAAGCCACTTGCTTCCGACAGCATACTTGTGATCAGCCTGACTCCCTGCATAACTGCAGAGAAGGCTCCCCAGTCACATGAGCACTGTTTAAAAAGCAATATGAAATTTAGGTTATGTATGAGTTGCTTTATGTTTTGGAGTCCATTTATGACAGCCTCAGGCCATAATTGAAACTGAGCATGTGAGGATTTAGAGGCTTTTGTATGGTGAAAAAACAGAGCCTAGAACTCTATGCCACCTGTTGGTTTTGTGATGGGTTTGTTTTTATTAGTTCTTCAGACCTAATGTCATTTATTCATCTATTTATTTAGTATGTCATATTGACCAACTATCTCATAGCTGGTTTTATGTCTTGGGGAATCAGCAGGAAACAGGACAGACATCATCCTGTAATGCTTATATTCTAATGGGGCAGACAGATAATAAAAACAGATGACAAATCAGATGTGGAAAAGGTTTGCCTTAATATATAGATAATTTTATTAAAATTTTATCATCCTAAGATCTAATATAGACACGTACATTCAGTAGTTGAACAAGATTATATATTTCTTTTTATGATAGAAATTGCTACCAAATTTATTTCAACAGATTTTCTATTTTATCATTTTCCAGAAGAGTATAATAAAAACAGATCTTGAAGACATTTTTTATAATTATCACTTAGACTTTTTAGATAACAATTTTCATATACATAGAAAGGTCATTGACTTATGTACCACTATTTTACACTATTCTTTTTTTTTTTGTACGTGCCCCTAGCGGGAACCGAACCTTGGACTCTAGTCCGCAGGTGATGCTCCAACCGCTGAGCCAAACTGGCCAGGGCTTTTAAACTATTCTTATGTTGAGCATATATTTAAGATAGAGAGGATTTGACTCTTTTAGTCTGAAATTTAACAGAAATTTTTAGGTAGCAAGATGGAGATGATTTCCAATTCAGAGCCCTAAACATGCTGTTAAAGTGAACTAAATAAATTGACATCGGTTTTCAACTTTAGAAAACATCTTCTGAATTCAGAAACTGTAAGAAATGACTTTCCTAAGTGCATATGGAACCACAGAAACAATAAAAATCTCATGATCATTTTGCTTTCTTCTTCATCACTATTGTAGAACTTGATTATATTCTAAGCTTTCATCTACTTGTTTTTGGTTTTTTTTTATCCTCACTCGAGGACATTTTTCCATTTTTTGTTCAGGTAGAGTGGGAGGGAGAGAGAGGAACAGAGAGAGAGAGAGAAACATCGATGCGAAAGGAACACATTGAGTGGCTGCCACCCGCACAACCGACCAGGGCCGGGGACAAACTGCAACCGAGGTACGTGCCCTGAGCGGGAACCGAACCCGGGCCTCTCAGGACCGCAGGCCGACGCTCTAACCGCTGAACCAAACCGGCCAGGACCATCTACTTGTTTTAAATCTAATAATCTTTAGTCTGTTTACTGTACATGTATTTAAAACATACTTAAATATGTTTGTCACTCTTTAATTTCATTAGCTGCAGCTTTTATTAACAACAGTTCTGAGTGCTCTCTATAAACCATGAAGTAAGAATTCATGATGGAATAGTATCTATCCCAAACATACGACCTCAGTGTGTGATTTAAAATCCAAAATTCTCACCATCCAGAATATTGGATGTACAATAAAATAATATAAATACACTGCGGTACATGTGGATGGCACTCATTACAATGGAAAATAGCAATGATTTCCTGAGATGAGTTGTTAGTCCTTAAAAATGCATAAATATAGATCATTAGTTCTTGACTTTCGGGATAATAATGTACAGAATGTATGTGAGATACTCATGGCATCATAATCCTGAGGAAGTTCTTACACTATTTTGTAAAATTAGATGCATGCCTGAGAAATGTAGTAGGAAGGACAGAACATTTCATCACTATTAGTTTGTTTTCTGCCGAAAGACACATGATGTTCACTTATTTCCTTCTTTTCATCCAGCACCTCAGCTGCCACAGAAATGACAGAGAGTCTAGTTTCTGCTTCTTGTTCCCCCAAATCAGGATCAGTGAATGGCCTGAAGGATACAAGATGCCAAGAACCTGGAAAAGCATGAGAACTGAATTGTTTGGCAGAGTAATAGAACTTCAAACTGATCATTTGAACCAGGACGTGAATGACAAATAGGAAGAGAAAGGAGATCACAGTTTGCATGGCTCTTACATGGACCTTGGAGCTGGGATCTTGGGACCCTTTCCCACTGATCTGCATCTTTTTGAGATGTTTCCACAGGGAGAAGGTTAACAGCAGAAAAGCTGTCAAGGACATAGTAAATGGTATGAAGTATACAAACGTGAATACAGTCACATGTGCAAGGTGTACAATGTTCCTCAAGTTGGTTACCCAAGTGGCGTTTCCTTCATATTCATTCATCTTCATTTTTTCATCTGTGCTTACCAAAGCAAGACGACAAATTAAGAAGGCCAATGACCACCACAGCATCATGACAACCACTCTTTTAGCTTTCCGTTTTAGGTGAAGGAAAGAAAAGCAGGAGAAATTAGCTATCTTGAGCAAATGAAATATGCTGAGGCTAGTAGCAAGCCAGAGGCTAAAATGGTTGCTTACTACCCAGGCAATATGAACAATAACTCTTAATTCTGAATTACAGAAAGCTGGATCAAGCACAGTTTCATACCAATTGAATACTGTTACCCACAGCAAAATAATTCTGGAGACCGCCAGAGCAGTGAGAATTCGATCAGTGCAGGACAGCTTTTGTCTCTTGACCCAGTCAGTGCAGTTCACCAGTGCTATGAAGCTGTTGGAAAAATATCCTAGAACAAATTGCACTATTTCAAGGAAGGAAAGAATGCTTGGTAATAACTTTATCATGTCTAGGAAAAACAGGCCAAGTCTAGTATCACTGGTCGTGATTCCTTTACTATACTGACTTTAAGTTCTATTTGCAGCTGATCTTGAATGTGTATTAAATTCTTCTTTCTTTAAATTCTATGACCAATAACATGCAGGAAAGCACCAGGATATGCTAATGAAATAGCTCACTGCTTTTGTTATGACACACCTTGTTATTTCCCCAAACTGCTCAAATTAACTCCTATTCAAATATCGTATGTCCCTGCTGTAGGCTGGAATATTTTATAATTGATGTTGTTGTAAAGCTGATGCTCATTTGTTAAAATACAAATATTGACATATTCTTTTTGTTTTGAAATTGTCTTTGTTTCATCTCTCAATAATTTGTGTTCATCAACTGTGTAATTAGTAAAATTTTAAAACCCAATACATTGATTATGCAGTGAATGCTAAATTGTTCAGTGAAGCTTGGCCACAGATAGGGTCATCATAACTATAGATTTTCTAAAACTTTATTGAATTTATTTGGGTGACATGGGTTAATAAAATTATATAGGCTTCAAGTATACAATTCTATAATATATCATCTGTATACGGTATTGTGTGTTCAGCACCCAAAGTCAAGTCTCTTCCCATCACTATTTATCATACCTTTGGGATTTTTGTTTAATGTCATATTTATGTAGAAAAAATTCAATCTTTCCCTATTAAGGCATCAAGGTTTTTTTGAGTACCCCAGAAAGGCCAACACTCAC